AGAGAAGCTCTTTGGGCCTCGCATCGAGTCTGAGGACACAGCTCTGTAAAGCAGGAGCCTGCTGCTCTCCCCTGTACCACAGCACCAGAGGTGGCCCTCTAACCCCACCACCTCCCTCCTGTAGCGTTGCTTGAGTGACTGCTCGTGCTGCAGCAGCCTGGCTGTGCTGCTCCATACCTGTCCCTCCTGTCCCCACTCCAGGCACAGGGCTGTCCCTCCCAGGCACAGCATCCTTCCCTCTGGAGCTGCTGGAGAAAGGAGGCCACCAGCCCTCTCCCACAGCCTTTCCTGGAGCTGCAAGGGGAGGACAGGAGAGTGTCTGCTCTGGGAAGGGAGGGCTACAGTGAGGGAGAAATAAAGTGTTTAAAGCAAAGCTCTGGTGCCTCATGGTGAGGAACAGGGGTACAGCTTTTTGGGTGCTGGCTGTGTTGCTGGTTCTAAGAAGACCAGGAGTGCCAGTGTTTGGCAGGAGACCCCAGTCTCCTCATCACTGACTGCACTTTGGCACCAGGACCAAGGCACTGCCCATCTCCATCCTCCCTGCATTCCAGATCAAGTCCTTTTCTTGCCTGAGAAAGGGCCCCCAGTTCTTCCTTATCTGCTCTAACCAGGGAAGAGAAAACAGATGCAAACAAAAACCCAACCAGGGTCCCAGGTGGAGCTGTCTCTGCCCAATTCCTTCTTGGGCAGGGAGGAGAACAGAACCTGCAGCAGCCATTGGGACTAGGAGATGGATTTCAATAACAAAACAACTGAAAGACAAGAAGAATATACCCTCCTAAATCCTTCAAAAGCCTCAGCACAGCTGTTTCTCCTAGCACTGCACTGTGAAAGGGAGCTCATTCAGGGAAGCCCCATCAAAAGTCACCATGGAGGGCAAAGGGTGGTACCTGTGCAGCAAACCGGCTGCACCTGACACTAATTACAGCTTGCTCAGGTGGGGAGGAGGGAGGCATAGGTAGCTGTCCCTGTCTAGAAAGTCTGTTCTGGCTCATGAACCAGGCATCTCCTCCAAAGAGTCAATTGAACACCCATTCCCAGACCATTTCCTCCAAAGAGCCAGCTGGACACCCATTCCCAGATCATCTCCTCCAAAGAGTCAATTGGACACCCTTTCCCAGACCATCTCCTCCCTTGGCCAGCAGCAGGGCTCAGAGAAGAACAAGCTCCTGGTCTCTGCCCAGGTTACCTTCTCCCTGAGCCTGGTCCCACAGTGGGTCCTGTCCCCCCTCCCAGCTCCATGTGAGTCCTTTTCATCATCCAGATCAGCCCCCCTACCCAGGGCTGGCTGAGGTGGAGGGGCTGACAAGAGCCACATTCAGCAGGGCACTGGCTCAGGCTCAAACCAAACAGGACAGGGCCTGCCTGGGGCGAGATGTTTGCTCCAGCCTCAGCTGCTTGGTGAGTCCATGCATGGAGAGTCCCAAAGCCTCAGGCTGTGTAGGAGACAGAGCAAAAGGCACTTCTCCACCTCCTTTGGCTCCTTTCTGTACCTGGAGCCATCCCAAGGAAAGCACGTGTGACAACCCTGCAAGCATCAGGCCAGTGCAAACACAACAGCACAGCTTGCCTGGGAGGCAGAGCAACTGCAGCTTGTGGAAACAGAACAAGGGGGAAAAAACTCATCCACAGAGAGAGGAGTATCACATTGCTGCCTCTGGGGTTTGCACTGGGACAGTCACAGCTCCTGGCAGGTGCCTGCAGCTGCTCACCACTCCTGTGACAAATTGTCAGCCAGGAGCTTGCTGTGGTGGGGAGACACAGAGCAGCACAGCAGAGCTGGGAGCTGAGTGAGCTGACTCACAATGGCCAATAAATTACAGATGAGGGCCATTGTGTCCCACAGAGCACCCAGTCCAGCTGCCCCAGCAGGGCACCAGTCCCATTTACCCCCCACAACTCCCTCCCTTGGGCTGTAGGGAATAAATCAAACAGTGGAGAGCTGTAAGGTCAGGTGAGCAGTGCTGTTGTACACCTGAGGCTCACAGATGTCACTGACCTGGCCACAGGTGCTGGTTTGTGTTTCTTCTGCCAGCAGCTGAAAGATCAGGCACTGCACTTGCTCTCACATAGGGAAAAATAGCAGCTGTTCTATTCCAGTGGCAAAAATAACTCTTTTTCAGTAGTTTCATGGCAGATGTGTTTTTTTTAAGACCATGCTATACCCATTCTCCACCAGAGTGGCTTCAAAGACCTCTTCTTGGGCAGAAGACAAAAAGCAACCAGGAAAGGCTTGAGCACCACTTGTATCACCTTCCCCCAGCCAGCTCCCCAAGCTGGGCCTCAGGGAAGACTGAGAGCCTCTGCCAACATATGGAACTTCACACACAGGCACTAGCTGGAGCACTGACTTCAATAAGTCCTTTATTTTTAAATAAAGAAACCCCACTGAATCAAAGATAACAAAATTACATTTCGTTTTGCAATGACTTCCATTTTACACCACACAAGAACAAAAATTAAAGAAAAAAAATCAAAGACAGTTTTATATATATTTATATATAATTTTAAAGGTAAACATCAGCAGATATAGAAAAATTGCATTGCTAGTTGCAAATCATCTCCCCTGCAGCGCTCAGCTCCAGAGAATCTGACTCAGAACATGGCAGCAGGGAGGGTGTCTCAATATACAGGCTTCTTCAGGGCAGCATTTAGAGATAGTTACAGAATATAATTTTGCCAAATTGAAAATATTTCCATAGTCAACTGCTCACCAAGACCACTGGAAGTCACTCTGCCTGTTCTAACACAGCTGCATGAGAAAAACAAGGGCACAGGTCTCCTCTTCCCAAGCTCTTTACACACCTTTTTGGCTAGGAATTTCAGAGAAAGAGGTTATGCTTCCTCAAGAAGAATGGCTAGAGATCTGTCACTGGGAATTACAGTCAAGTATCATGTAACAATGAGACAATATGCCCCTTTGGAAAGCTGTTGACTTGGGCAAAGCAGTAGGATTCGGTTATAACAAATACAAATGGGTTTTATTTGGCTTTTTAAAAATTTTATTTTAAAGACTTTTTAGTTGACAGGGACCATGAGATAGGTCAACATCCCAGCAGATCTATAGTGGAGATCCAAGAAGAAAATTCTGTATCTCTTCTCTGGTCATGCAAAAACTTTGATTACAATGGGAGCTTGTCAGTCAGACCAAAGCAAAGGGGCTTTGTGCCACCTTGTACAGATGTTCAGGGTAACTCCAGAAACATTTCCAGCACAGCATGGAAAGCTGGCAACTGCTTTGACTCATTGATGGCACTTGTGCCTAAGCTGCCCTGACAGCTGAGGAAGCCCAGGCCAGTGTCACTGTCACTGAGAGGAGGGTACAGGAACAGGGCACCCTCCCTTGGGCTGGTGCTGCTCTGAGGAATTCTAAGCTTGGAGAAAAATCCTAAAGTCCTCACACCAAGAAGGGCTGTTTGCTTTTCACCTAGAAGCCATGGAAGAGACACTGCTTTGAGTCACTGTGGCTCCAGCACCTTCCCAAATGAGCCAACCCACAGAAGGGATACAGACATGGAGCATGACTCAAGGCAGAAACAAGATGTTCTTTACAACAAGTGACTTACACAGGCAGCACAAGGCTCAGGCCGGCTCTGGTCTCACAAAAAAAGATTGAAGAATTTCATTAAGCTCCAGACAAGCACAGCATTTCCAGAAAAACCTGGAAGCAATCCAGGTGACTAAACTGGCAATTAAGTCCTGAAGATGGTACTCTCTGCTCTTTCCTTTGAGATGCAGCCACTTGAGCAATTTACCTCCAGCTATGCTGCTGGAGGGTTAGCAGACAAAAACTTTGGGATTGCAGGATAACAAGTCACACATTAAGTAAAGCAAACCCTGCTTCTATGACTCAATTCCTACTGCTAGAGGAGCAGAGAGTTGAAAGTGATCCACTGCTTTATATACATTGTTATTTTCAGCCTTGAAACTGACTGCAGCCAGTTGTGGTTGTGGGCTGCCCACAAAGGTCCTTTAAGTCAGCACTCAATTGTGCCATGTGCATCACTGGTGTGCCTCAGCGTCTGAAAATTCATTCACCAAAAAGCAAAGCCCCAAAAGCTCTGACAGAGCTGTTACTGAAGTCTCTAGATATGCTGATGTCAGGGGAGGAGGAGGAAAAGGGCAAGGCACCACGTGTCAAAGGGCTGTGGTCTAGAAACTTGTGGCAGACCCAGGACAGATGACACACAGGTAGCTTGGCTAAATTCAGTACTGGAGTTAATAGTTCTCAACATTTTTACTTAATGCCCTGTCTTTGTAACCCATACCTTCATAAACAGGAACTGCAGAAAAACACTCAGGAAAAGGATTGCAAGGAAGTTCACTGTTTGCCTTTACAGTGCAACTACAACACTGCCAGACCCACCTGAAAACACCTTGATTTAGAACAAAGGGACAATTAAAAATGCTGGCAGAGCTCGTGTAGTGGAAACTCAAGTTCCTTGTGCTCAGTCAGAGCAAGTCTGAGCTGCTTATTTACCATCTTCAGATACCTCCAGAAAAATGGCAAAGGTGATGGTTGGACCAGCCTAACCATCAAAGAGTAATTGTTCTGCAACTTGCTGTCTGATTGAGAGGGTCCTCAGGGTTCATGTTCAAGTGCTACTTACATTCAGTAATGGGGAAGGTGTGTTTACCAGGAGACTACCCATGGAAGAGCTCTCCTAATGATTTTTCTAATCCCAGTTTGAAACTAAGCAGAGCACATGTCAGATTCACCAAGCTGCAATGATCTACAAGTGCACACTTCAGCAGCCTCATGTGTTTGGACAAGAGATGAAAGACTTCACCTCTAAGACTGAAAAACTCAGACTGCATGTAAGGCTGGGTTCACTGGGCAAATAAAGACCACCCGCCCACATAACAAGAGTAGTATTGCCTTATTTTGGGAGATAAGAGTATTTCAGATTAGGACTGGACAAAGTCCGACTACTTCTGCAAGCCTGACTACAAGTCTTGCTTTGAAAGAAGCATCAAATTTGTTGAGATGGAGAGAACAGTTGTTTTTACACTGCTTCCACCTACAGGCTTAAGCTGAAGCTCCAGAAACCTTGCACAAAAAAGCCACAACAAAAGCTGTCCTTCCCCAAATAAGCCAGACTCAGTCAAGTCACAAGTGATTTGAGCAGTTTTAGATTCAAGTGCAAAACCAGGGCAAAGGAGCAAGACAGAGACCCATGGTACTTCTGTAGTGGAGAGTTTCAGAAAGTCCACAGCACTGGCACTTCTGAAGGCTTGGGTTGTGGGGTAGGAAGGAGTACTCCTCAGAAAGGCTCTCCAAGGTTAAAGAAAAATCTCTACTTGATTAGACAAAACTACAGATCCTGCTGCTTTGAGAACTGTCCAGTTGCTCACCTCATTTTGGGAGACTTAGACACCTAAATTTATACTGTAGCTATTTGATGTGTACATGTGTTGTTTACACTCCACTTCTGCTGAAGTGAGGAGATATTTAAGTCATACCCAATGAATATTACATGAACACTACTTAAGCAAAAAAACTGAAATGTCTTTTATGACATACTTTAGTGATGCAGTATGAATAAGAACATAACACAGAGACAAGATATCCATCAGCTAAGAATATCCTTGCTAACTGATGCCCTAAAATAGTTCTTAAGGAACAGCCACAAGCACAGCCAAATCTTTCTGCAGCTTTACTTAGTTTCATCTTCTCTTTGAAGAAAAAAAGAAGCCCAGATTTACTGACTAGAAGAATGTGCAGACATCCACAGTTCACTGTGGATCACAGGCCAAGGTGTTTGGCCTAAGGCAAATGAAAGGAATTTCCTGATATGACAATGCATCTTTGCTACAATAGTTAATTATTGCTTTATTAAAATGAAACCCCACCTACTCAACCTACTGAAGTTCAGGAACAGGGCAGTCCAGGAGGCTTGTTCCCCAGGTTTGCTGTTACCAACCTGAAGACTTGCAGCTTGTTTCACCCTTAAGCTATAAATTAAAGTGCCTGAACACAGACCAAGGCTGAAGCAATAAAGTGCTGATGAGGGAAGTTGTGACAGGAAAAGAACTTCACTGACACTGTGATAAAGAAACCCTACAGATGGATTAAAGACTCTACAATATTGAGAGAACAAACAGTAAGGGGCAAAAAAAAAAAAAAAAAAAAGATTTTTACCACTAGTTTCAGTCTCCAGATTGTCATGGGACAACTTTCCTTTAATAACTATTTTGGCACAGACCATAGCTGCCACTTGAGGGAAAAGCACAGGTGAGTAGCCAGCTTTCCTGCAAACAGCTTTCACACTTCACTTTGCACATTAAAACTAGAAGGGGATGTCTGGTTGTCAAAAAAAAAAATTCTAGTGAGAAAGAGCCCAGTGTCTTACTGGAGCCAGTAATCCTACAGATTACACAGATCTCGAAGTAGTCAGCCATGCAAAGATGTCAGTTCAGCTGCACAGGGCTGGGGACACCAGTTCCACATCAACTGTAAGGCAAGTCACATGTCTCAAACCCACCTGATGCTCTGAAAGCTAATGGGAGGAATTTTGATATTATTTACCCTGACATAAGGGGAGTAAATCTAAACAGATACACCCTACCCCCCACCAATTAATCCCTAAGAGAGTACAATAGTTCTCCATTAAATAGTCTTTCAAGCAAATTGAGCTCACAGAAAAAAAATCCTGCAGATTCTTAATCATGGGTTTCCATTTGGAAGCTAGAGCCAGCTTTAAAAAGACCCAGGTCAAACAAAGAATCCAGTACTGAAAAGATAACAGTATTTCAAAAGAGGCAAAGGTGACAAGAAGGTGACTGATCAGGTCCTGAAGTGAGAACATGTTTACACAGAAACATTAACTGGCATTACCAGGCTGCAGCTTTTCTCTACTTGGAGATGCAGCATAAAGCCACCCCAATCCACTCACAGCTCAAGCATGGAAAAGTTGAATATTTTTAAAGTGATTCACTTGTGCAAGTGCATTCCTAGGTACTAAAAGGTTTCCCTTGAGATGGTGCAAAGCTGACACTACACTTGCAGTCAAGCACCTGTTTTTCCAAGCCACACTGTAGTGCCTTACAGGCTGAATCACTCACTGGCTTGTGGCTTGGTACAGGGATTTTCCAGCACCCAGAGAGAAGAGAGCCACAGTTATCCCATCATCTACACCTAAACAAATGCTGCAGATCAAATTTTTGACCAGCAGGTAAAGAGATTTTGACATGTGAAACTTCTGCTATATTAAAGCAAGCAGTCTTTAGCTCAGTAGCCCTGGAACAAGCTAAAGACGGCAACCCAATTCTTCAAGCAGAGCAGTAAATTACAAATCCACGTGACTGGATATCCAAAGAGGCTCTGACCAGTTGTTAACCTCTGCTTTAACTCAATTTTGGAAAAAAACACATGGTGATCAAACCCCAGCCATAGAATATCAAGGAGAATGGAGACCTGAAGCAGCAGGTGAGGGAACAAGATGTTCCCAAATAGAGATTTACTGAAGTGATCCAGAGTCTTTGGGTCGATTACTCCTGGCCAGACACAGCCTGCTCAGCATCTGAGCAGTGAGGCTTTGTCTTCTCCCACTGGCAGATGGCATTGGCATACTGCACCACAAGCTTATCCATCCAGGTAAGAGGCTCTGGGAACAGCACAGACCCCTCAAAAAATCCCAGGTGGCCTCCATGAAGGGGCAGCACATGCATGACATTCTCCTTTTTCTCTGTAAAAGAAAAAGAGGCAGAAAGTTCCAGGATAACATCTTAAGATGACAATGAAAGCATCTTGAGTTGCCAGGACAATGGCTGCCCAAGAGATGCTGCTGACTGGGCCCTAACAGTAATAATAATAATAATAGAAACAATAATAAAAAAATACTGCTGTAAGAATTGTCATTCTTTAACAAATGAACACCTTTAACTCACATTCCCTGGAACTAGGACTGTTTGCATCGTGTCAAGCTGCACTAAACTCTGACAGTGCATCAGCCATCTTGTTGCATGGACAGTGAAAAACTCTGTGCTTGCTTCTCTCTGAAAGCAGCTGGGGATAAATTCTCTGCTCACAGCCTCTGGCCAGGAAAAGAAAGAACCCTGCTTCCCTCCCTGTGCACCCACTCTTTGTGTGATGAAGCAGCAGCAGCTCCCTCTTCTGAGCTTCTAAGGATAATTTACCTTTTTCCTTGTTTGAAGACAGACAGCTCAACTCCTTTCAAGGGAGAGACCCCAGTTCAGTGCCAAGTGACACAGCCATGCATGCACTGTACCCATTTCATCAGCAAAGGGGGAGTTTATGTGTGCTTCATCCAGACTGTCACCACCACCCATCTTCCTACTAAATCCTAGTGAGCAATGGAGATGTGAGGAAATCTTTTTTCATCCAGGAATGGAACCTGCTGCTACCAACACAAGCAACAGGTGCCTCAAAGGACTGAAGTTCCTCCTGCTCAGGATTAGCCTTGTTAGTTCTAGCAATTGGTGACTTAAAGAGGCTTAGCACACCTCCCACAGCATTACAGATGTAAGGAGGCAAGTCAAGCTGCTTTGAAATCAGGAATTGTGATGTGGGAAGCAAGCTGTAGGTACACAAACATGCCCAGCTGGAGGAGACTGATTCAGCATACCTGAAAGAGCTCTTGGAATTGATAGAAGACTCTCATGAACAAGAGGGTCATCAGCAGCATTAACCAACAGAAGAGGAACATTGATCTGCATCAGGAAACACAATATAAAATGAAGAAACCAAACCAAAAAGGGGTTAGTATTTGAATGTCAATCTACCAACTGTAAAAGTATCTTAGCATAACTCAATTAAGATCTTATTTCAGAATTAATTTTGTCTCAAAGAAAGAGGCAGAGAGCAAACAGACTGAGTCCTCACTTTTAGAATTGAAATAACCACACCCTGTTTTCACTCTGCATTGCTTTGCACATCAGGCAGCTATTGCCAGCTCTGTTATGGACACCTTGGTTAAAGTCCAGGAAACTCCCTTGGAACATCTCCATTCTCTGGTTGTAGAAAAAGGAAGAACTGATCTCAATTACACTTTGGCAAAACTTTGCTCAAGCATCTGCCTGTCAGTGTCCTGAGTCTCCTCCGTAGAATCCAGTGAGCCTTTCTTCCTTGGAGGTGCAGGCTCCATGCAGGCACCCATTTCCCACTTTATCCTCACACTCTCAGAGCAGGTCAGCTGAATGTGTGGCTTTGTCTCCATCTCTTGGGTGCTATCACCTACCAGAGTTATATACACTGAAAAACCCAAATAATTTAGCCCCAATGTTAGAGGCAGCAAGATCTGAAATTCTACTCCAATATACTGTGGGTGATTATTTCTGAAAATCCCAGCTGAGGCATCTGCAGGTATCACAAAAGGAAACACAGAGTATTTTCCCTTAATGCAAGAACAGCCTGCTGCAAGAGCTTACCCTGTGCAAGTAATGCAGGCAACTTTCCTCTTCATAGTATTCCTTCAGTGAGCTGTAGCCATGGAATTTCCTGAAATAGAGTAGATTGTCATTAATATCACCTGTGCCAGCCATGTCACTATTACTTTTAAGTGAGGACACATGCAGAAACAGAAATAATGGCTCAATTTCCATAGATAATATTTTAATACCCAGTCTCCTTGCAAAACCCTTTGGCAGCACATGCCTTGATGATTTCTGTGCCTTCTCAAACATTCTGAGAGCATGGGCAAGTCAAACATGCAAACTGAGACCAGCAGCCCTCAGAGTGTTTCTTTTAAAACACCACACTTCACTTAATTGTACATGTGGATGAAAGAAAGTTAGGATCTTGTTCATCTCTCCCTAAAAGTCTTTTCAAATACAAATCCAGCATAGCTTATAAACCTCAGATTTATTGAACAAGTTCCCCAGAATTCACTGTGGTTCTACTTGATCTTTTCACAGCAAACCAAGAATTCAGTAAGCCTATATTCAAGTGCCCTTTTTTTTATATAAGGGACAACATAGCTGTTGGTCCAAACTAGAAAGGTCTCAGTGATGGGGGACAAGCAGGGAGATTTCCCCAAGGAATGTTTTTTTTATAAGCAGCCAACCATACTCCCAGTTTGCCAAAAGTGTCATAGCTTTCTAGCTAACACTTTGCAGCTTTATTTTGGAGAGGGGTCAATGCCTGACACAGAACATGCCATGGTATGAACACTGCCACTTAAAGTGCTATGATGTTGTCAAAGAGACAGGCAGTAACAGGCTACTGCTTATTAAAGCAGAGCACTTAATTAGGTGTTAGTATGACAAATAAAGGTTGCATTATCTCAGCCAGCCCTATTGTGTATTGACAAAGCAGAAGTGTTTCATGGGGAGAAGACTTTTCAGAGTTAAGGAAATCCATAAGCAGTTCTGAGCTTCTTTCCACATTCCCCTTTTTTATTGCTAGAGCTTGGCCTCTTCCTACCTTAGTGAAGGCTGCAGGTTCAGGTGTTACTAATAAAGAAATGTCTCCTGGATGATTTTAAAGAAGCTGTGACTGTGAACAGTAAGTTTGTTTTTTTTCCTCTCTTCTAAGTTTTCCTTAATGTGGAGGCAAGTAAGAATTTGAAGTTGTGTTCACTGTACTTCAGCAGAGTCCCACAGGCACAGCAAGGGGCATGCAAGAGCAACACTGGGAAGAGAAGGTACCTGGAGTTCTATAGGGGAGCAGGGAATTGCCCTTCATACCTCATAACATTATCATCAATCTGCATAAGTGATGTTGCTGTATAGAGCTTGCCCAGATCAGCTTCTGACAGGCTATGTGGCTTCTTCATGTTATCTCCAAAAAGAGCTTGCCTGGAAGAGTGACATCAAGAATTACATCCAAATAACACAAGGCAGCTAAACCATGACCTGTTCAAGGACAACTGAGTTTACCAAATCTGACAAGATAAGATTAGAAGTGGGTTATATAAACATGAGGCTTCCTTGGGAGCAAGAGCAGTTGTTTGTCCACTTACCTTAGCAGCAAGACATAACAAACCTCAGAAGCCTGTTTGTAGGAAAAAATGTTTTCCTTATCTACTGAAAAATTGCATGAGGGGCCCTCTTAAAAGAAACTTCTCAGAACAGAGGGCACTAACAGTATTTGGACTTGAGGCTATATGTTAGAGGGAGAGATTTTTGGCTTCAGATCAAACCTGGGGGTGGTTTGGGTGAGAGCACCAGCAATGCTGGGCACAGCATCTCCTGCACCATCTGGTTCTAAAGCCCCCAGCACAGACTTCAGGCTACCACACACAGAAATTACTCAGGGTATTTCCTTAGCAGAAAGCTTTTACTACGGACACTTGTCATAGCTGGCTATTGCCCTCAGGGGTGGATGTGTTTCTTTACCAGAACAAACTTCTTCCCAAACTAACAGAACAAAGGCCACAAGTTGGAAAGGGGTTTTTATTCCCTTTGAGAGGCAGCTGCAGGGCAGGCTAGGTTTGATTTGGGCAAGGTAGAACACAAGTGATTATGGAAAAAGTTTGCTCAACACACTTCCTTTCAAATCAGCACCAGTCTTTTGTGGGTTAAGAATTTAAGCACCCTTTAATGGGAGCTTACCTAACTTCACTCGTCAAATTTGTTCAAGTTGTCTAAATATTTGTAAACCTGGAATGAATTACGTGGATCATCCTACACTGGCCACCCTCTTTCTACAAGTGTTTCATACTGCACAGGAGTGTAAACAAAGAACCAGAAGTCTGAAGTGATACATGCTCCTTCAATGAAATAGGCCTTAAGATATTCCCCTCCTTTCTCTTCAGTCAGGCAAATTCCAATACAGATGAGGTATTTTCTTGTCTGCAAAGTACCACCCAGAGAACTTTTGATGGGGAAAACACCAACATGAGCATGTCACCTGTTTAGCACACAAATTTCTTTTGTTATGCAAGAGCAACGGATCAGCAAGAGCAGCACAAGGATCCTACAGCACTCCAGGAACAGCAATGTTAAGTGTTTTGCTGGCTACATGCTCTTTCTAGAGGAACAGCTAGAAGCCAGAGCTACAGGTTTGACTATTTGCTTATTTGATATGCAGCAACTCCATATAGCAGATCTGGAAGATTAGTCCTACCTCAGGTAGGTGGCAGAACAAGAGGCTCCTTCAATAGGGAATTCTTTGGCTAGAAGTAAAACAGATGCAGAACACTCCACTTTGAAGTCTAATTGCAATGTTTTCCTGTGCATGTCTTGTTTATTCATTAAGCAAGTTTCCACAAAACACAAGGAGACAACAATGTCTTCCTTCTAACAAAATGGCCAAAGCCTGTTTGTCTATTTTACTATAATGAGATTGACAGGGGCTCACCTTCTCTGTTGGTTGATCTAAAGATCTACCAAGGAACTTGTGCTAAACCTGTCAGGAGTCCTATTTTAAAGGACCAGGCAGACAAATCCAATACAGCAATTGACCCAATCAATACTGTCAGTGTGAGTGATGTACTGCAGTACCTGTGAGAAAGGATGATCTTCTTCATGTTGTCTGCCATGAGGAAGTTATAAAATCTTCTGCAATGATCCCACTGCATGAAGGTTTCCTGTGCCCTAGAAAAAACACAGCAGAACAAACAAAGCTGTTAATGGAGCCCTTGAAAGATCAGATTAATACACTGTTAACATCTTATGGCAGCCTGGGGGCTGTGTAAACAAACCTCCAGGCCTTCTCTGCCACAGCTTAACCTTTTCCAGGAAATTACTTCCACTTTGATGAAGTTTGTTAGTATCAGAAAACAGATCTGCAGTCTCATCTTGCACAATACAATTAGCAGTTTTGATCAGAGCATTTAAGAGCCATCAATCAAGATCCATAACACTGACAAGAGGATTTTAGTATCCCTTTGCAGAGGTTGAATGTAATTTACATAATGGGACTTTCAAGGAAAGGGCTAAAACCTGTTGCTCAACAGTGTTGTCTATTGTGTAATACAGCTCTGCAGAGGAAACAATTTGTGCAGATGTTTCCAATATATACAGATACTATTATTGTTTCAGTTCATTGGCAGGAACTGAAGGAATAAATACTAGCTGCAGCTGCAAGTGGCATCTGAGTTGAAGTCTTTACCTATTCTCAAAGCAGAAGAGCTTCACAGCTTATCTGTTGTTAAAACAGAATTTAAGCCATCCAGAGTTGTGTGAGCTCTGCCAGACACCAGCACTGCTTTGCTATGCAGGGTCATGGGCAGGTTAGAGCTTTACTCCTAGCAGGGTTTGCTGTTGCTGAGGGAACACACTATCATTTACTGAGGGACTCAAGAATGCTGGGAGCAGCTTCAGCTACTGAAGCTCTCCTACCACTTAAACATTAACATACCATGAGAACTACTGTAGATTTAGCATGACCTTCCAAGCTACAGCGTGCAAGTCCCCTACCAGGCAAGAACAAACTGTTTTCTTGTAATTAGCCATGTTGGAGAGTATGGATTTAAAAAAAAAGAAAAAAATCCATTATCTTTTTGTCTAGCCAGGTTATACCTACCACACTTATGCCAGGGCAGGGGAATGAAAGAAGATAGGAAAATGCACATTTCTTTCTTCACAAAAGGTTCTCCAAGCAAACCTATTAAGTTATCACAAGATGTTTGAAGTTAAAGCTACTACATTTCCCTGCAGTTCCTGTGGTGTACAGCAGTTCTCCTAACATGAAGAGTTGCAAGCGTTAAAAAAAAACCCCACAGGCAGCTTCCAGTACTGTGAGGACTGCCCAGGTTTCAGAGCTGAGGTCTCTCCCCACAGCCTGGAGCTATGATGAAGATGCATTCCACAAGATCAAGAAGCAGAATCAAGCCTATGCAGGCAGAGATTAAGGAATAAGGAGACCTGTCCCTGTTTAGCCTCAGGGAACACATTCCCTAGACTGTGTTAATTCATTAAAGATCTCATTGTTCTGGCAGATCCTAGTATTGCTGCTGCTCTGCAAAGGCTCTACTATTTGAAATCTTTGGTTCACCTTGCTCATCAAAATTTTTTCTTCTGCTTATGAAAGTTATTTGGGGAATAAATGCTGGACAAGCCAATATTAAAAAAAAAAAAAGGAACTGTAAATTAAACTGGTTATGTTACCAGGGTAATCCACTTCCATGTAGCCCTGAAGGCTGAAGCCAGCTATTTTCATGTACCAGACCAAGCCCAGAAAGGCAGTGGCTTCACCATTCTACCTGGAAGTGCTTTACACCTCCTCCCTCCCACTTCTATAACCAGGGCACAAGGCCCTCCCTCCTCCTGCCCTTTGCCCAGTAGATGTTGCTTCCCTCTGGTCCTTCAGCTAATTAGCACTTACAGCAGATGTGGGTATTAGGAAGGGAGACACAAGACCTGAAATCCTTCCCACTGGCTGTCCAGTAATACAGAGCAGATGTTTTGTGGCAGGAGCTTTGCTAGGAGATGTTTACCCAGCAGGTGGAGGCAAGAGCTCAATAATCCACACAGCCCACACCATGGGGTGCATTAAACTCAGGGGGAAAAAACCCAGTGAGTTGTTTTTCCACACAAATATCCAAGTGGAGAATTGTTAATCAGGTTGTCCTTGCCATGTAAGCATAATAGCATTACTCACAACAGCATTTTGGAGATCAGGAATACAATATTGCATAATTGTAGAAGATGAACCAAGTGGACCTCAGCCAGATATTATCCCTGCAAGCCCTCTCTGATGGTTGCAATTAAGGAGCTGGCTTCAAAAGGATGCTCTGTGCTCTATGCCAGAATCCCAGGACAGCTAAGAACATTTTACTTGAAACAAAACAGAACAGCTGTTCCTGTAGCATCTGTTCAGATTTTAAGGGTGTGAACTAGCAGCAGATTATACACTTTTTTAGCAGTAGTCACATCTGACCTCGAAAGGGATTAGATAGCAAGAATATTACAAGCATATCAAGCTTTTACTGACATCTTAGTGCTTCCAGAAAAGCTTTTGGCTTTTACCCGTAAGAGCCCAATTTATAAAAGGTGTCTTCAGGCTGCTGAATAACAAACTGCTCCCTACACAGACAGGGCATCATCAGCATCAAGAGTTCCAGCTACCCTGACCAGGCTGTGAGGCTGAATTCCATAGCAAGCCCCTCACAGACCTGCTACAGTTTCACCATTCACATCAGCCCAAGGGATTATGACTCAAATACCTGAGTCTCAACAGTCTCTTTTGGCTTCAGTCTCACAGCTCAAAACTGCAAGTAAATTACTGCAGAGTCAGCTTTATCTTAGTAATTGTCCATATATACAGACACTAAAAACTGAAAACAGTAGCTTAGCCAGTTACAGTGCTTTAATCTCCATTACCTGTGCATATATGGAAAGATTAAAGTGCATTAGTTAAGTCCAGTTTTAAAGCAGCACTTCTATGCCTGGAGCCTCCATCAGGACATGCAAGTGAAGCCATCACAGCTCCTAAAGTGCCAGAACCTTGTCTTCCAGGTGGAGAAATATCAATATTTTCAGACTTAAGGGCTGTAATACTTTCCCTCCTCACCTTCCCCATTCCTCTAGCACAGCTGTGAGTGCCTCTCCATCCCCTGATCACCCAGCACTGTTTCAGTGACACTAAGAGAGGAGCACAGACTGACAGAGACTGTGCTCTGCCTTTCCAGTCTCCCTGGGTAAGAGCTGCCAGATGAAACTGCACACTGAGGCCAAACAAGTTATTACAAACCATGGGATATTTCTCAGAGTGATGAGACAGTGTAAACTATTGCTTGCAGACCTGGCATCAGCTCAGCAGCTGCTCAGGCTGCCCAGCCTGCCTGGTTAATTACACCAGGACAGGGAATGCTTCCTCTTCACCGTAGCCATGAGACAGCATCACATGCACAGCCCAGAAGCTGCCAGCATGTACCTGGACAGGTACACAAAACCTGTTTGCTCTGCTGACAAAGTTTACTTGTGCTTGCAAATCAGCAGAGCTTCAGGTGCTCCTTCAGGAGGGTGTTATCCTACACAGTCTGTCAGACCAGTTCATGCAAGAGAAATACCCATCTTCACCTTGCCCTTCCAGAGATCTGTTCCCTCCTGCACTCCCAGAAGAGAGCAGCACAGAGAAGGCTCCAGACCCACCTGAGTGCACTGTACCCCTGGCACAAGCTGACACAGCACAGCACTCGCTCCTGGTTGGCCTGGCTCTCTCCCAGGTATTTGCACACTATGTTTCCACCCAGGCTGAAGCCCACAACAATCAGCTGGGTCTGAGGGTAGGTCTTCTTGATGTAATTCACCATGGCACCAAATTCCCAGGTGCATCCTAAAAAGAAGAACAAAGTTTAAAAAAATCATCTAATATATTTAAATTCTCATTTGAAGCCTCAGTTGCTTTGAATTCAGCTTCTTACCCTTTCTGACTTTTCAACAGCCTTAAGGTTTTAACAGCTCTGATTCACATGTGTTCATACATCTGTGAGTCCTATGGAGCTTAGCTCATGCTTAGTTCTGACAGAATGCCAAAGCAAGATGAAATTTAGTTGCTTAAAAATCATGGTGACAGTTAACGTGACAATCAAAATGCTTTGTTTCTTAAACAGCTTTAAAAAGCAGAGTCCAGCAACTCTGGGCTTGACATTACCATGCAAGAGCAGCACACATCATTACTTTCCTGAGGCAGTTTGCCACTTCTAAAGTGAAGTGAGGTATTTGGAATGCAGTTTGCTCCTTTGTTTTTAAGCAAGATGATATGGATCCCTAAATCCACGCTGCTGTGGGGAGGGGAAAGGAGTGGCTTGTCAGGAAGAGCTCCCAGCAGACTGCTGCAGAGCCTGACTAAGCAGGTGATTTCTGGAATCAGGGAGAAGGGTTTAACCACAGATATTCAATCCTTTGTAGCCAGTGAAAAGGTAAAGATACTGCAGCTCCCTGAAAGACATGGGTATCCCCACACCAAGAGAATAGTTAAGTGTCTCTATAGAGATCTGTTCCACTGTCAGCAAACACCCACTTGCATCCCACAGGCTGCAGGCACTGAGGGATCCAGTTTCTGGCAGTGCTGGCATCCTCCAACTGTTTGACAGACTTGAAGGCCTCCACACATACAACAATGTGAGTACCTTCAACTATTTCTCCTGCTTGTGAGTATAGGAAAAGGAGATATGGAGCAGCAGCTGCAATAGTGATGGCGTTAGTACACTGGTTTCAAGTGTTTATGCAGCTTGTTAACCTTCCCTTTGGATTTAAGGCTGCAAACCACAGGAGGCATCACATGGACAACAGAAATAGAACTCCGATGTTTCTTCTTGTCCAGAGTCAGAAACTCAGCTCTATTCTGTGGAACTCATCCAGAGAGATAAATCCTAGGATTCCAGCATTCCACCCTGTACTAACCTAACACTGCTCCACTGCATCCCCACCCCATCTGTAGCATCCTCAGTGAACAGACTCCAACTTAACCTAGCTCTGGAGTAAACCCTGAGCACCAGAGCTTGTTTGCTTCAGTGCAACAGCAAGCTCCTGTCTGAGTGTTTCAGCAGGGTTTGGGCACTTCCTTGTGAACATTTTTAATGAACAATCTTCAAGATAAATTCTGCACTGCTCTGGTTTCCTCTAGAAGAAGCCAGTGGTCAAAGTACTTTAGTGTTTGACCTTCATGATTTCAGGGCAGCTCAGAAATCCAAAACGATAAAATCAACAGGTCAAGCTTGATATAGAGGCTGGGATTCAGCGAATCCCAAATTTAGGCTACTTGCTCCTCAGCAAGTATGCCTGGAACACAGCAAAGCTGAAAGGGCACTGAGTTATTTGGGTAGGAGGCAGAGTAAAGTCTACTGGACTTGCTGGCACTTTATTTAAGAAGCAACTCTGCCAAGTGATTTACTGTCTTACTCAAAGGAAGTGCTAGTCATTCTTTGCCCTTTCCAAGGCTATAAAAGACTCAGAAAGGTATGTCCCAAGAGATGCACTACAGAATAACATCCTAAGGCCTAAAGCAAAGCTTCATGAAAGCAAACTCTTAACTTCTATCAAAACAGCAATTGCTTTAACATTAAAATTTAGTTTTCAAGACATGGTAGTGTTGCAGCCATAACAGCCCAGGACCTCACTACAAATGAGGGTATTTGGTATTCCTGAAGTGTTTCCCAAAGAGGAGTATACTTAATAATTCTAAAACAAGCAACAAAGCATTATTATTTGCCTGCCAGACCTTGGCATCTCAAAGCACAGTATTTCTGTTTTGACAGTTTAACTGTTCAAGATAACTATTCAGTTAATCCAAAATCTAAGCAGTAGTGCAGCTAACTTTAAAAAATAAAGCCTAAAGTCTGCTAAACACAGAATTGACCTATAGATACTTAGAGCAAAGAGGGAGATGAGGGCTCAAGAGAGCTCAGGAACAAGCAGATTAGGTCACAGGCAAAGAAGCCCCATTCTACAAGGATCACATTACTCACCAAAAGGGCAATTAAGGCTGGAGTCACCCTTCACACAGTTTCAGATCATTTATTCCTTTTAATTTCCAGGTTAAGAAAGACTTCCTTATACTCAAGGTGAGAGCCATAATCATGGCAGTTAAGCACTACCCAATTCTGCAGTTTTATTGTCACACTCCTCAATTCTTGCTGTTGTTGACTTGTGTAACATCCAAGAGCAAATCCTCACATGAACCCCCTAAGATATAAATGTACTTTCTGGATAGGCTGGTACAAACTCCTCTCAGGTTGTATTTTACAAAGCCTCAAGAGTGGCATTTATCCTTCAGAGACATGTTTGTTTCACATTCCATCAAACTGGCAAATTCAGTATCTCTAAAATCATTTGAACAGGCTCCGGGTAGGCACAAAAGGGCTTTTTTCTCCAAAAGTTTTCTTACAAAAATCTGCCTCCTTGATGAGAATACATGTGTAATAGCTAGCAGAAGAGACAAAAGTGAATTTAGTATTAGCCTCCTCTCTTCCTACCATCTAAGTTCAGTTTAGTTCTTAAGAAACAGTACAAAACTGTTTTACCCCCACTGGGGTACAGCAGTTGTGTTATTCTGAAGGAGGCTGATCAATCCCTAGAAGCTCCGTGAGCCTGAAAATAAATTCCCCAGGTGCAACAAAGTACCTACCATAGGTAAACATCCGTGGTGAAGTGAGCTCAATGTTTGGCAGGGCTCCCAGGTGATTGAGCACAGCACATCTGTAGCCATTTTTCTGGGCATAGTCAACAAAGGTGCGGATGTACTGCTTCTCACTGTGGTTGGCAATCCCTGGGCAGATCACCATTGTGACATCCTCTGTGCTCAGAGAGAGAGGGAAGTTGAGCAAATGTCACTTCATGCAAATTAAGAGAGTCAGAAGGTTTCCATTTCAGATCCATGGGAAACCACCCACCACAAGCAAGCTAGAATTCCTACTAGTCTGCCAAAAATCCCAAATGGGACAGGAGACCAGCAGCTCTAGTGCTTTAGATGGGAAAAAGTCATTCATGCTATGGGAGATGAACTGTTTTTAGCTTCAGGGAAAGCTGTGCAAACAGTTCTCCAGGCACTGCTTAGAGACCCAGAGTACATTCTTCTGTCTGAAGGACATTTTTGATGCTACACATGTTCTGCCTTCTGACAGCCTGTTGTGACTGCAACGTGTGTGGAAGCTGCGGAGCCCAGCACTCCAAGGAGATTGGTTATGCTATTTCCCCCTCATTTCCCCTCTAGAGCTGGGTGTAATGCAGATTTTCCAAATGCAGCTCTGCTAAGCACAGACATTCTGATCAGCTGACATTAACCATCATCTACTTTGTGGCTAATCTAATGATATTTGATCTGCTGACACTGTTCACTAGTTTAACAAGATATCATTTCATCAACCAAGAAAGTAATTGCTGTAATTCAAGTAAGCACAGTAAATTACATTCAGGATTATCATATGCACTTCAAATTAACTGTAACTCTCTTGTGCAAAGCTCCAACATTACCAGCTCTAGCCACTGAATTTTTATCTCATTAGAAAAGCACTGCTCACAGCAATAAAGATAACACTAACTGTCCTAGTGCAGCACTGTACCATGAAGATCTCAACACTGACAGTTTAAAAAGAGAAATCTGCTTTTTCTGAGGGCCAAATGGGAGCCATGGGCATCTGTAGAGGAGGGACAGAGCACACAATCAAGGTCAGCAGCTAGGTGCAGGCAGCAGCTGTTGGACTGACCTCCAGTGCAGTGCTCAGAGCGTGGCTCAAAGAGATCAAAGGTGGCTGTTGCTCCATCTGGCATGGTCAGGTACTTTCGGTGTCCATTTGGATGTGGTGATCTCACTCTCCCCATTTTTCCATAAAGAGCTGTCTGGATATGTCCACTCTTTCCCCAGATGAGGGGTGGAATGTACCTGAAAGACAGTAATTAATTGCTTACCCCTGCTGTGTTAACCAGCCCTTGAGAACACATCAGCACTCCCATAACAAATCTCACCAGCTCCTAAATAGAGCAACAAATATGGAATTGTTTTTGCTCTGACTCAACTGGCAGCAGTGATCTTTGCAGCCTTACACAAGGGGAGAGACCAAAACACTCTCAAAGCTGAAAAATCAGCACTGATAGCAGCAGCAGGAGCCAAACCCCAGACATTCCCTATATTGAGATGTTAGAGGAACAAATGCTTCTCACTAAATACACAGAGGCCTTGTGTCTGAGTGAGATTGAGTGCATGCTGCCAACCAACCACAGTGACCTCCAGAACTGTACACTGCTGTAAATCTGTTTTAATTGAAACACTGAAGCCTCCTGGGTTGAGCCACATGAACTTGTGTAACCACTTGACTGTACAAGCCAGTGGCACAAACAACAGGATTCACACCAAGTTCCAGAAAATGGAAAGCCCCAAGACTTGCTGGTTGGGACCATTTTACACAGAACTGTTTGTTTTACTAAGTTAAGCAAAGAGCACAGTACAGGTTGATTTTGCCTTTCAGAATTAGGTAAAAGTTTGGACAGTGTTAAGAGAATCAGTCAGAACTGACCAAACTTCACTGAGTAACAAATCCCTTTCAGTAAGAGGGGTGAGTCTACCAATTACTTATGCTTATCAAGGGTATATTTAAAGCTATGTGACAAAGCAGATTGTCTCTCTTTTCCTGGCTTACAGGGCCTCAAAAAAGATATGTGAGAAACACAGCTACGAGCTGGAAAGCATTAAAGGCTTAGTTATCAGATTTTTTTAGCACAAGCAGAACTGCAAGTGGTTTAACAGGAAACATACTGTGCCCTAGCACCACCACCATGTGGGCAAGTCACCTGGTCACTCAAAGGAGACTGAGCCAATGCCTTGAAAAAGAGAGTTACATCAGCTCTGAACAGGAAAGCATGAATGATTTATTGTTGAGAAGAACAGCAGTCCCAAGGAACACACTTCCAATTAAAGAACTGTGGTCTCTGGTGCACAGACCAGGGTACCCAGAAGAAGCTTGAGAGCTTCTGACTTCACTTTGGGTCCTGAGGGATTAGCAACGCCCTCCCTGTTGTGTTTTGGCCTTCCTGCAATTATTCCTTCTCACTTTGAGAGAGCTTATGAAGCAGAGATCACGTTCTTCCCTGTTCACAAAAAACCTAGGCAGCTCAGCACACAACTTTACTGCTTAAGCCCATAATCCACTAGAATGTGACAGAAACCCTACCTCTGTGCTCTGACACTCCCTCTTCATACAGCTGGACTTTTCCCCATGCCAGTGCTTATGTGTCATATCCGCAACTCCCTCTTCCCCTACGCGCCATAAAAATGCTTCCTATCAAATAAAAACCACTTGGGGTTGTTCAGCAAGACAAAAGCAGCAGTATGGCCTCTTTCTCCCCATGCTTTTCCCTCATCTACGAGGGGGACTTCTTACAGTCAAAGCTTCAGCATGAGTAATGTGCATAGCACTCTGATGCAGAGATTTGTAACCACTACTGAGGCATTAGGCATTAGTTTGCTCTAGAAATAAGTTTTAAAGCAGCTGAAGCTCTGAAATACATGCAAGTGTTCAGGCAGAAGCTTTTTATCTCACCAGTCTTTTTCTTTAGGCCCATCAGCCTTTAAGCAACAGACTTGTGAAGCAAAATACATCCCTTAAGGGTCCAGGCTCAGGACACTGAGCACGACAATACTTTAACAGGGAAAGGGAAGAAAGCTGCCCAGATAGCACAGATCTTGTATTATCAGTGGAAAAATGAAGACAGATTAGAATTTACCTTACCAGATTGATGCAAAACCAAGCACCTAATAATATTACTTCTGTTTACCAAGCCAATTTAACCTACTACAAAACCCTGTAAAGCCTTTACAGTAAGAGTGATTCCCCTCTTTTACTGAATTCAGGTAAAATCTGTTCTCAGCTGAGGACAAGATATCCTTATAATCTATAGCAGAATCAGACATATGATCTGCCTGTCACACTATTTCTGTTGACCCTCCATTTTGCCAATGGGCAAATCTATTTTTGAAATCTTCATGTGACTTTTATGTCTCTTGCTGAGACAAAGTCTACAAGAACTTCCAAGAGCAAGTACTGAGCCTAATGGTGCAAGACAGCACAAGGCTGAAGGATGGCTCATCTTTTTATACACAGTTTGTGTGGACTTTCAGCTTGCTTTTACTAAACCCACTCAAAGAAGAGAGCATGGATAACTCTTCAGTCCTGAAGGTGCATGATACCATACTGGTGAGGGAGAAAACTTGCCAGGAATTGTGCAAAAGCCTTTACCCTCTGAAAGGACAGATCAGATCAATTTTATTTAAGCCTATCATGTGAAAAGCAGCTCCAAAGACATTCCTATCCTCAACTCAGCTGAAAAAACCTAACTACCCAGTGCTGATAGCAAGAGCTAGAACAGATTGTTTTGTAGTGAAGTCAACATTCCTCCTGGCAAACAGCTGAAAAAAGATGCTTCTCCAAAACAACCATCCTGCAGACAGAAGAACATGTACTCAGGGCATTGTTCCAGTGGTTTACCTTAAGAAAACAAGCTCAGCAGGACGCAACACAACCATGCAGACTGAGCAACTGAGTATTCAGTCTAAGGGGCATTTGAATACTGCCCTTCACATTTTATGCTAAAACTATAATTACTGCTAAATTTAACCATGTCCTCCAAACAAGGGCCCTTCACTCAAAAGCAGGTAGCTTTCCTCCAGCATTGATAACAAGTAGAAACAAGGAAAGCACTCAAGGACACAGTAGATTTTCAACTCCTTCCTCTCTGTCTGCTGTAAGCTGAAATGGTTCTGAAAAGCAGTGTACTGCAGAGATTACTCCAGCACAGCACAGAGATGGTTCAGCACATATCCCTCAGTGTCCTGTTCCAGAGAAGCTGCTCCCAGATGTACAAAAGCTCAGGAACAAACACCATATCCATAAGCAGCATTTCCACTGTTATGCAATAGTGGCTGATGGTGACAGGAGCAGTGAACACCAGCCAGGAGGACCTCTTGCCAAGGCCTGCACATGAGGACAAGGACAGCATAACACAACAACCCAGACAAGCATGTGCTGATAAAAAAATTCCAAGGGAAAAGTTACGTTGTACCAAAAATGGGGAATTTTATTTCTGTGAACCAAAAATGGCTTCTGAGCTTTCCCCAGACACAAAGGCTTTTTAACTGATTCATTTCCCTGTTTTGGTCAGTTGCAATAGATAGCAGGCACCCTGAATCATGATAAATATTTAAAGCAGTTATGTCTTCCAGTAAGCAGCCCTGTAGCTTCCAGTAACTCTGTAACAGAAGGCAGAGAGAACAGGCCTGGGGATGGCATTTACTCATTATGGAAGGTCATTTACATGGCCCAGCAAGTACAGAGTTCACCACCCTTAAGTGGCTAAGTGAATTCACAGCCAGTTACATAAATCTGCTCACCAGTGTTAGTGTTTGAGCTGCAAACCTGCATTCCAGCTGTGCAGCACAGCCCCACATCTTGATAGGTGGCTGCCCACAGTGCTCAAGAACAAGATAACTCTTAGGTTTTCCCAAAAAATTTATCCTGGCATTTTTATATTTAAAACAATTCCAGCATGTGATTGTAGATTAAATTTAGTGGCTCTCAGGCAGTAGATTATCATTTTAAAGCACATACATAATCCAGTATGCAGGAATTTAGGAAAGCAGCAGCTGTATAAGCAGCTCACACAAAGCACATAAAAACTGTGCTATTTTTATTAGCAGGCATCAGCATTCAGGTCCTCAAAGATGTGAAGTGGAAGTTCAGCAACAGGCTTATTTCTGGTACATTGCTTCATTTCATCTGAGGAGATTAACACTTTAAACATTAACCCTTACATGGGCTTTATGTGCACACTGGATACTGATGGTGAGAAAACAGTCTACAAATTGCCAGTGTCAGGATTCTAAGAATTTTTGCCTGCATTACAACAGGTAAGATTATTTTCCCCTTTACGGAGCAGTTTGGAGGTATTAAAAGAATGTTTCACAAAATCAAACTTTGAGCCTTGTCCTTTATTTGATGCTAGGCAAAGCAAATTAAATTCCAATAAAGGAAACTCATATACAAGTCTGCAGTGTTCAGCCCTCATCCCCAAGTATGTAGAAAGCAGCTTTTTCTGCATCAGCTCAGCTAGACTGCTCAATGTGATGAGGACACAGCAAAAAAAAAATTGTAACAAAAATATTTAAGCGAGTTATGGAGCTTCTACATTCCCCGAGTCTCAAAAAAGAAACAAATGGAGTAGAAGTGTTTGTCTGCTGCCCACAGCACCTGTGTGAAGTCAAAACTATTTAAAAGTACTGACTGGCCCCTGGGCTAAACCACCTCCTTCACCATTTAAGAAGCTTTTATTTAGCAAAGTGCCCATCACACCCCTCCTCCACCACTAGAATACAAGAAGTATTTTAGTCAAAACAAGGCATGAGGATTTACAGCACTTCAAATCTCCCTTGCTGATAAGAGCTGGAGAACACAAGGCTGCTGCCAATGCCACAGCACCCAGCAAAAACTCAGACCCCCGAGGCTGCTTCCTCTGCAAGGTCAAAGCTTCAACTTACCAACAGGGAGCTGCCATTCTCCTCTACCTCTCAGCATGTTCACTTGCCAAAGCTTCAGGGGTAACACCGTTCTTCTAGTTTATTATTCTCCTGGAAGTGTTCCTCCCAGAGTAAAACACCTAGGAGTTGACAGGGATCAAACACTGCTTTGCTATTAGGGGGAAGAAAAGAGCACTGAAAAGCTTGAAGACAGCTTTTCTGACTACTCATCTCCTTGCATCTAAGAGAAAAGCAGTGACAGTGTAAAAGTCTTCTGGTACCAGGCAGCCTGCTCACCCAGCATAGGTTGGTGTGCAAACAAAGGATAAGAAGGATGTAGACTGGATCTTTGACAGTGTTTACTAACAGGCTTGACAGTCATTTGCCTCAATCTTTGAGGAGCTTGCCTTTACTGATGATAAAAAGTGTGCAGACAGCAAGGATAATTATTTTCAGTACGGATGGCACGTGCCACATCTCTACAGAAATAAAGATACCCACACTTTGTTAGAATAAACTGTAAACAGCCAAAAATGTCTAACCTAGTACAGCAGGCACTGGCCAAATTTAACCTCATGAATCAAAGAGCCAGCACTGCATTTCTACAGGAATAAGAGCAGATGAAGGACTTTCTGTACCCTTTTGAAAGGCAGGAAAAGGACACAGCTGCCACCAGCAGTTGGGCCCAAGTGCTCAAGGGCACCAAGAGCTGTGCTGAATTGCAAGAGCTTCCATATAAGAAGCAGCAATTTGAATGGAAAAGCCTGATTATGCTACTCCACTTGGTAAGCCAAAGTACAGAGCTGGACAGGGTCAGAGCAATGGAAAAAGGGGTAAGAGAACATGAGCTCTAGGAAGACAGATTCTCTTGCTTCCCAATGTTTGGCAGATATGTAGAAGGTTTCTGGCAGTTTACAGAACTGTAAAAACCAGCACTAACATCTACAAGTACAAGGTACCTGGCACACAGCCATCTCAAGCAGTTTTACAATTCAAAGTTCTTAAATTATTCATCCACCACCACTTGGCTTACTGAATGACACCACAGTTACAATGCACTGAATTAGACCAGAGGTTAGGATTGTGTCATAAAGGGAAAATAAAGTCCAGAAGTGTTTACTCTAAGAATTTTTAAACACCTGCATAGATAGCAGAAATAAAGTTATTCTTTCCCCCTGCCAGCCTGTTTTTCATAGCAGTGCCCTCAGCCCTTCCTCCCTTGGGCAGGAGCTGAACAAACCAGGTCTGAAAGTCAGCTCACAGCTATGAACATTCCTCTGCACAGAAGAATTGGTCTTAAAACAGATTTGACAACAAACCCAGTACTAATATAACAGAAGGGATTGCTGGGCTACTTATTTTGCTTTCATGGTAGAATCTGAAAAGAGCTGCTTAATCAGCTTTCCTAACACTCTGAATAATTAGCAAGTAATCAAAGCCTTGCAAAATTTTTTGGTGGAGTACTGCACAAGCTGTTTTCACATAGCTTTTTCCTAATTATCCTACAAACAGTTTCATGCATAATTGCAGGAATTTAAATACATTTGTTTCCCTGTAGTCTCCAGGTGACTTTTATGCCTAAAGACAGGATTTCTTTGATTTTTAAAAAAATTCTATATTGAAAAAAAAGTTTGTGATAACATCACTAGAATAGTAAAAAGAAATAATCACATATACATCTTAGAGCTGTCTTTCCTGTAAATCCTTTTAGCACCCAACAGCAATTATCTTCCTAACAGTGCTGTCTTCCTTAACAGAGATATAGAGGTAAGAGGACTGAACAGTTATTGACACATTTTGTTCTGGTTTGTTTCAGCTGAGTTTACTTCCTTTTGTCATGGAAGTCTTTCAGACAATATTTTGCCCAAGAACCAGGTACTGGAGAGGACTGCTACAGCTTTCAGAGAAGCTGGCAAGCCTGAGCTCAGCTGATCCAGAGAAAGCAAACAAATCAAACTTGCACACGACCAACACAACACCAGGGTTCTGCAAGCAGCTCATCACTCCTGCAATTAATGCACAACAGATGCCTAAATACTGCTGGACATGTTTTGCATTTTCTTTTGGGAATGCTTTGTTCTCCAACTGAAAGTCAATAATACAGCAGGGCTAGGAGCCTGTGCTGTGAGAACAGAGCTGAAATAGCAGGGAAATGGACTCTAAATTAGCTTACAATCCATTTCCAAAGACTAGCCTGATACTAATATGCCTTCAAGGCTGGTAATCAGCTTCATGCTTGCTCCTTCAGTGACTCCAAACGTGTCATACTGGAGTGCAACACTGGGATGGCAACTACCTGAAGTACCAAGTAACTCAAACCCCCTCAAGGTATTTTTTAGGAAAGGAATTGCTTTGCAGTTAAGGCAGTACACATAATCAAGAATCCAAACACATTTATGTTATCACTAACCTGGAGTACATCACAGAAACCTCTCTGGGTTCCAATTTCAACAGATAACAATGCTTTGTTTCCTCTAAAAGTTTACAGAGCCCATGGCCTAACATCTTATACCTTATGTAATCAAGGCAATGAACACAGCACTGCTAAAAGCCTCTCATCTCCCCTAAAATGACTATCCTTAAGTCAGCTTGACTTTTGAGATCCAAAAGGAAAGTTCATGCAGCTGCACTCAGCACTTACTATATAATTGATGTACTTAGAGCTTCTAAATAGGACTTGCAAGTTTTCAAAGTGATTGCAGAAGAGAAATACTGTAATCAAAGTCCTTGTCCCTCCAAAGCCTCATGAAATTGTACTAAATGCTTGCTATTATTGGAGAATGTTCTTGGTGAAGCTAAGGGCAGCTGCACTGATTCTGGAGGTCTTGGAATGGAAGATCAGGGATCAGCCTGCTCAAATACACAGCTGACACAAGGTCAATTTGAAAGTGCATTCAACAGGCTTGGAGCTGGCCTCTATGTCATTACTTTATTAAACTAGTTAGGATGTGCTCTACCAGTAATAAATTTCATTAGTTTTCAATCAACTTGAAGTACTTCTGATAAGAGCAGGCACTTTAAAACTAATAGCCAACCCTGTGTTCATTATAAGGGCACTGACACACCATGAAAATGCTTCCCTCCTGTGAGCCCCAACAGACTCCTTCCCTAATAAAAAGGAGTACAAGATCATGAACAAGTGCTAACTGCATCCATCCCTCCCCCATTTGCACAGCGAGCTCTTGGTGCTGCTATAGTATAACATCAGCATACAGATGATATTCTGTATCTTCTTCTATAAAGATGGACAGTGATGACTTTTTCTATGTCTGTGGAAGACTTCACACAACAAGGCTTGGTCAAATCCAGGTACCTGAGACGAAGAAATGCTAAAAAGATTTATTTTAGTAACCCTATACCCTGACATTCATTTGAACCCAAGTCTATGAAACACACGAGGAAGAATGGATAAGTGCAGGTCTTCTTCCTATAATACAGGTCAGCATGGAAAAAATATACCACTTACTCTTTGGTCAGAAGTGGGCAGGATTTGAGTAGAAAGCGAGCCAAAGCAGAGTCCTGGTAAATGAGTTCAGGAGGGGCAGTGGGGCTTTTTAAATTCAAGCAGCGAACGATAACATACAGAACAGCAGCAACTGCAGCTAGCTTCACCCCATCAAACACTGCTGGCAGCTCAGAGGTTTCCAATATTGTACTCATTTTCAGCCTGCAGATAAAAAACAACATTACAGCTTCTAGAAATATAGCATTGGATATGAATATCAACTGTCATGTTAAATACACAAGTAGATTTGTCAGCCAACACTGCCAGGAAATCCTAGCATACCAACATTTGAGTTGGAAGAAAATTTAGTTAGTATTGTTCTAAACACCCAGACCAACAGAAGGAAAACTGGATGATCAGCTGTGAAGGAGATTTATTCCTAATCAGTGCTGCCCTAGAACTGCACCAGTGTCTCAGGTATCAGCAGCCAGTCAATAGATGCAGGATCCTGGCCAAGACTAGCCAAGTCAAACAGGAGCTGGGTGAAAAGACAGGCTATAAAGGCACCTTGGCAGCTTTGGACATGTGTTCCTTCACAGGTGTCCAAGCCAGACTTGAAAAGGAGCACCTGAAAGAACTACTGTCAGCTCCTCAGCCTGAGCCTTGCAGTTCCACGAGAACACTGGTACTAAATCCTGCCTGCACTTAAGATGGTCACTTTATGTACTGGCATTTTCAGCATTTCTTTTTATTCACTGCAGTTCTGCAGCTGAAGGACTAGATGAATATCTAGTCTTCAGAGTAAAGGAACAGAAGCAAAGTAGTATAAAAAATATATCCTTCCAGCTTGAAATCAAATTCTTAAACTGATCCAGCTTATTTTGAACATACACTTCAAACAGCTGGCTGCATTTACTGTTGAAAGGACAGGTTTTTCCCTGGGTCTTTCCTAAGTAACATGGGTAACCCAAGTAAGAGAAGTGACAAGCCAAGTCTTACCTATTTCAATTTTCTTCAAGCTAGAAAAAATTGCCAGTCCTCAGCAGACTTGTCACCGATCCACGTGCTGCCTGAGCTACCCTGTGGGGGGGAAAGCAAACTGATTATTACTGATCAAGCTGCATTCCTCAGCTGGAAAGGATGAACACAAATTTATACAAAGGTCCCATCACAGACATGGCAAGCTATTTGTGTAGTTAGTCATAACCAGCTCTGATCCATCTGCACCTGAAATCCATTGCCACTGGACAGACTCCAGACAAGCTCACTTGCCTACAGAGTTAACTCATCTGCAGTGTGCAAATGCAACTTCACAAGCAGAGAGACTCCATCTCTGCAAGACAGTGAGACATTGTACTCAGAAAACCTACCCAAATCTGTTCCTATTTAAAGCACTAGGACTAGCAGGATACTCTTCTCTACTTTGCAGTATCTACAATGTTACTGAAGTGTGAAGCCAGTCTGAAAGAAGTTTCTGCTACTTTTATTCAGGCTTAGCAAGGCAGCTCACTCCTACAGATGGAAGCTTGTAAACACTCTCTGCCTGTTCCCACACTTGCTTTTTGAGATGTTACAATATATCACACTTCACCACGGCGGGAGCCACAGGAGGCTCTGACACAGCCACCTAATTAACACCAGTGCACATGCAAGAAGGCTTGTTACAAGAATTTGATGCTGCCAATAAAAGACAAAGCTCTTTCACAGCCTGTGCCCATAGCAGTGTAAGCAATACTTGCCATTAGAGCTGCCTTCCCACAGGCACAACAAATCGATGGCGACTCGGGGCTTCCAGGAAAAGCTCCAGAACTGTCTGCTCCCTACCACAGCTGCTGCTTCCAAATGGAAAAACACTAGCAGGACACACCATACCAAAGCCTAACTCTCCTTTACAGCAGGAGTAAAGAGCCTCAGAAGTACTTTCTGTACTCAGTGCAGCTACATCAAAACCCCTTGGAAGAAAACACGTGTGACATCAGCTATTGACTAACAGCATGCTGGAAAGCTTCAAGTTTCTGCCACCACAACCATCTGCACAGCAAAACAGATTGAGGGAAGCAGAGACATTTAATCTTAGACAACTCTCCAGTTTTTCTTTTCCAGTTCTGAGCAGCACAGCAGAAGTGAGAAGATGGGCCATAAAAAGCCTTCTATTCTTCTGCATGGGCATCATGACAGGAGTTCCAGTACAATGTTTAGCTGCAGGATGTTATCTCTCATCTCTACTTGGTAATATTTTACCAACACTACCATCAGTTCTGTACAAGACAACAGGCAAACTACAGCAATGGTTTCACCAGGGAAGGTACAACTGGCTGAAGAGCAGACCAGGTTCCTGAACTCAAGGACAATCAGGTGCTCAAGCAAATCTCTCTCATACCAAACTCCCAGAAGTTCTGTAGACATCTTCTTATCATTGTTTTATTCAGAAAATTAAAAGGCACTAATACCCGAGACCATCCTGACACCTGGATTTTAAGCTAGTTTGCTGTTTACAACTTTCACCTTAGTGAATTTTTAAAAATAAAACTGAGCACAATTAGTCATTAGGACTTCGTACTAGTGACTCAGTCTAATTAATCCAACTGAACCCTACCTCCCTTAAAATGTTCTCTCCCATATGATCTTCAGATTACAAACACACCACATCTTTTCTCATACTTTCATATCTCATGTTAGCCTGTCACTCCCTTAAAACAGCATACAAGCTTGCCATTACTTTCAGAAAAATCAGCTGTTGGTAGGCAGGATTATGTTTGACACTTATGAACCAGTATTTTCCATTTTAGACAGTCTAAAGCACACATTCACAGAACTTACGCCACAAACATGTGCTAGAGGTTTATGTATTTGTCAAAATCTTTACCCAAAAGCTCAGATCAGCCTGTAGATGTAACACAAAGCTGGCACTGCTTCAATGGCACAGCTTTCTACAGGGATTATCTGAGCAGTGGATGCAGCCCATGAAGACTCCATGCTCTGTGGATTCAGCTGTGTCACTTGAGGCACTTGCTCCAAAGCCTGGTATTTCTGAAGACCCAAACACACCTGTCTCAGTGTCACATAAGATGTGCAAGGGCTGAGTCAAGCTCCAAAATTTTAAGGGTTTAGCTTACTAAAATGGATTTGAGCTTTGCCTCTAATCACCTAGGACAAATGTCTATCTCTTTAACCAGCTGGGATGAGGTCACCTTGCTTCTGTTTTGTTAAACCCTTTTTGCATTGACCCAATAAATTTGTCTGTTTAAACAAAAAAGATAGATAACCACAGCATTGAGGCAGACAAATTTTAATCTAGAATCTCCCTTAACTGGGTCACCATTAATCTAAATGGACAAACATTTGGCTTTTTCCATATACAAAACATTAGATTCACTGCTAAGCAAAATTTCCAAAAAGCACACCACTGGAAGCAATCTAGCCTGTCCATCCATCAAAGCATTTGAAATTAAGGAACCCAAGGAAGTTGAAGCTCTTGGCCCCAAGCATGTTATTTTGAAGCATCTTAATTGCAGAATTCTTTTTTTTAATCACTTACAGGCATAACAGCCCCAAAGACCTGCAGGCCTCTCAAGCAATGTTGTTAAATCCCAATTTTAACTGAGGGATAACTTTAAAATTAATCACTGGACAGTGAGTGCTGGATTTGTGACCTTTTGATATGCCCTTTCATCACAAAAAGCTGAAAATCATGTTACAGGAAACATTTCAGCATTACTGTTAACAGAGTGCACATCATCTGTACAAGTATAATGAGAAAAAATCCCAAGTCTCACCCTTTCCAGACAGAAACAGACACAAGTACAACAAAAGCCAGTAGAGCTACAGTAAATTCTTTATGTGGCCTTTCAAAAATACTGGGTTTTTGGGAAATCCATCATCAAAATATTTACTTGCTCAGTAAGTGAATTCATAACTATCAACAAATCTAACACCAGTACACATTTCAGTTTGTGGTTTCCCGTGGAGAGGAAGCTTCCAGAGACAGAAGCCACTGTGACTCAACAGGGCACACACAGGATTTGGTAGCTACCAAGCTTTACAGCTCCTCCACCCACAAAAGCAGAGTCTGACTCTTCATACTGGAAAAGCAACACTAAAAAAGCAAAGATATTAAAGGGAGCCATTCCCACAGGATCCTCCCTCCTTTTAACAAGCCATTGAAAGCCTGGCAGACTCATTTATTTCACTGAGGCATTAGAAATGCTTTGGGCTAATGCAAGGATGCAGCTTTACAGAACCCAAAGAGCAAAGGGGCTGCACTAACGAGATGTGCTATTCTCCATTACATGGCCTGAAGAATCTGGAAGAAATGCCATTTCCAGAAGAGCAGCTTGGTACAAAAGCCTCATGGATGCCTCCCCACCCCTCAGCATTTGGGCTGATTGATGCTCTCAGAGCTCAGCTGGACACCACAACACTGGAAACATGCCTGGCCAACAGCAAGGCTTTGACAATTCCCTTCCCTATTCAGTTACAGCTTACCAAGCACAGTAATACTCCTATACCCACTAGGACTCAGAAGAGCCAGAGAGGCCATTTCTGACAGATATAAGCAGGCAGACTTTGTTAACTAACATATCAGACATTTCTCAGACTGGCTCCATACATTTTAGTTTGGGAATAAAACCCTGAAAACAAGTATATCAGACAAGAGGAAAGCAAACTCACCCTACTTAAGAGTTGTGCCTAGGCAGACTGGGATCAGAAATAAGGTGTGGTTTTTTTCCCAGCTTTTAAAGGAGGAAGGCTGAAGTTAGTTCTTTATGGAATGTTTCCAGGAAATTAACATCTTTAACATCAGCCAAAGCTAATGAAAGATACACTGCAAAACCAGAAGGTACAGGCTTGTCACTACCAGGTAAGATATTTAGAACCACATTATGGGGAAAGGAACTTCATTAAGGAAAGGGTAAAAATTAGAGCCCTGCATAGTTTTTTAAACAAAGACAAGTTTCATGCCAGCACATTACTCAAATGTCACTCCAGGAAGTGCACAAAGTGTCACACTGCTGATCTTTCAGCAGTTTAAATGCAGAGGATGATGTTTAGAGACCATAGAGATGAAGTTGAAAACACTTGAGAAGGGCTCTGAAGCATGTGCCCTGATGGGAAAGGCTGCCAGACTAAGCACTGGAGGACAAGTACAGAACCGGTGTAAGAGGACTCATGAGGAAAGCCTCAAGTTTTATTGCACAGTTACAGATCCTTTTACCCAGCAGCTCTATAAAAAGTGCCTTTGTTTTCATGGGAAAATGTTAAGTCTAAACTGCTTTGCTCCCTGAAAACTACACAGGCACAAGTATTTTAGGGCCACACCAATACTATGCCTCATCAGCTTATGCACAAAAAGCAAGTCATAACACCATTTATCTTGAGACTGGCATCTACCCAGCCCAAGCTCACCCAGTGCAGAACCTCCCATTGCCTTCAGTGTGGCTCAGAGAACACGTCAGAGGCAAATGCTCAGATCTTGATGCATCACTCAGTACTTCTGGCCATTTAAAAGAGCCAGCTAAGTCTCAGACCTCAGAGGGTATGATTAAGAATTAGCTGAGCTCAAAAGGCACTTAAGTTTAGGGTTAGATGTGGCCATGAGAGATAAAGTACAGTCCTCAGGAGTTTGGCAAAGCCCACCACAGGTTTGTTGTCCAACATGTGACAGATTTTATCTCCAAAATAAAGAGGGCACACTGACATGCCCCATCATAGGGATGTTTAAAGAACACTATTTGGACAGCCTTTTGAAGTCCTCAGTGCAAATCCCTCCCTGGGCCAGGGCCATACCCAGGTCAGGATTTGGCTGGTTGGCAAGTACAGAAACCAACAAGTATTGTTTACAACCTGCTGTGAAAAAAATTCTTGGCTGGTGCCTTCATTGGAACTTGACCTTTTCATCAGCTACAAACTTGGCTCACACTAAATTCAGAGGTACTGTGAGGTCACAGGGATAAAGTTCACAGCATAAGGAACCATCAGCACAGTCAGAAAGACAGGTGCCTTGAACTAGAGCTCTTTACCTTGCCCTTGAGGAGTTCTACACTTTCAGAGCAGAAATCAAGCATCTCAGAGGGCTGGGTGTACAGCCCAAGGCAGGTTGCTTAAAAATGCACCCAAGAATAAATGTATAGCCAAGAGGGGCAAAGGCTCTTCAGCACTTTCACTTCTCCAAGAATGTTAATTTGCAGTCAAATGAGCCTTGATATTCACTTCCTCCTAAGTACAGGAACTGCCTTTGTTTCCCCATAATATCATCTTAACTAATCAGAAATAGTTCTATTTCAGGACAGGCAGCTTTTAGACATTAGTTAAGGTTGCTATGTAGAGTCCTTGTTACATCACCTTATCCTGGTTCCTGTTTGTGTCAAATGGATTGAAAACCTCTGCATTAGCTTTTATTGCACACACCTCATGAACATGATTAAACCAAGACAGGAGCAGACGCTGACTTCACCAAAATCTATTAATTGCAGTAGTCAAATAATTATGTTTGCTCAAATAACATGAGCCTTTCCTTTAAGATAAGGTGCAGAGACTTGGGACTGTCTCTCCAACCACTACCTTATGTAACTCTAGGTTCTTGAAGAGGTCAAGATAACTTCCAGGTACAGAGAGGAATGTTGGATAACACCTTTGCACAGTCCTACAGCATTAGCAGGCGTCCCTTGCCTACCACATAACTGTGCCAGGGAGCAGCATTAAGCTCCAGGGAAGAAATGGAGTAAACAGACTGTAGAGAACCCAACAAACCATGCTCAGTAGCTGAGGGAATGCTGCTGGAATCAAGCCACAGAGAGCTAAGTGAGCTAATAAAAACTGCATTATAGACCAACTCTTCTCAAGGAAGTCTGCTCTATTCCTTCATTATATTTTCAAGCATCACATTGTTAAAGCCTCATTTATCCTCTGACTGCAACTCCTCCATTCCCACACTGCCACAGGGCTCAGCTGAACATACTGGAGGAATAGCTCAAAGTCCAAACACATCACAGCTGTTTGCTCAGCCAGAGGGCTCAGTAAGTGGGGAACATGCTCCACACACAGCAGGGAGAGCCCACCTATAACAAATCACAGGTAAGAGAACTTTATTTGAGAACAGTCCAGTTCAAGCAGCCTGAAAACAAAATATTGAACAGGATGAAAAGCTGAGGTGCTGTTTCACTGAGGTCTTTAATAACAAACACCTTACTTATTTTGTTCCCCTGAAGAGCAGCTCCTGTCCACAGGGGAGCAGGAGATTTGCAGAGTCATTCTCTCACAGCCTGCCCATGACAGATAGAAGGCTTGCACTGGAGGAGTAACATAATTCACACAAGTAACATTGAAATTGAAGCAAAAACCTTTCAGGACAGAAGAACTACACACAAAGAGACAGGCTGACCAACACACTGCCACCACCACTGCTGAATACTCAGGTTCTCCCAGACTGCAACTAAAAGAGAGGTTTTGGAGCACTACAGCAGTCACCAGCAATTCAACGTGCAAAGAGCTGCACTGCCCTCTCTCCTGCTGAATCAGAGTGACAGGCTAGGGGTATTACAGGCTCGTGTTTTAGGACATTTTGTCCTTACCTCTTACAAGGAGGGTCACTGTAAATGACTGTGCATGTGCTTATTTCACTTAGTACAACCCTTCATATTCACATATGCTCAACCAACACTTCACAGAACTGTGTGTTCCAGATAAGAGAGCCAGGCTTGAATCCCCTCTGCACAAGCTTTTTGGAACCTGCAGCTCTATACAAAAGCATCTTTGAGGATGCTTTGAGGTAAGTTTAGAAGCAGGACAAGCTACTCTCAGCAGCAGTCAGTCACTTGTCCCTTTCTGTGAGGAGTCTGTACTATACTTTTTGAGTACTTGATGCCCTGAATAGGGCTGCAGCTCAGTTACCTGCAAATAAGACATGAGACATTTCAGAAAAGTTCAGCATTTCCAAGAGCTCAACCCACATTAAGTTGTCAATGTAATTTGTTTTAGTCAGACTGAACCCATGATAAGAAGAAATGAAAACATTACTCAACAGCAGAGAGTAATAGTCAACTGTACTGGCTGGTCAGTCTGGAGATACAGATAAAAACCTGTTCTCTGCCAAGCCTGGCACTGCCTTCCACTGCCATTACCTCTAAGAACTCAATGACATTTCAAGCACCTGGTTTGTACTGAACCGCTTTGCAAAGCATTTTCAATTACTGCTGCCTGACACCGGCAGAGTAAGGCTGGCAGACAGAGACAATCTTTATTATTAAGTCAGCTGAGGGAGCTGAAGGAAAGACAAGCCCTTGGGTGCAGAAGCCTTGCTAGAGCCAGAAAAGGCTGAGACAGCTGCCCCACAGGGCCCCATCCCTGCCACCCACCCATGTATGCTGGGCCAGGGGGATTCTGCTTCTGCACAAGAAGGACAGTGTGTCCTTGCACACTGAAATGAAATCAATTGACATTCAATCAACCAGCTGAGTTTGATCAGATGTTTAACTGCGTCTAAGAGCAAACTCTGCAAGGTATATAGATAGAAGAAGGGTAAATACTTGCACAGAAGACCAATTGATCTACAGCACATTAAGAACAGCAATTCAGAGTGTAACACATCACAAAACACACTTTTCCAGAGAAACTCAGAAGTGTAGATGAAGACTCCAAAGCACTAACAAACCATGATTGTTTAGGCTTTTGCTGCAAAGTCCAAGCGATCAGTTTCAGGCTGGTCTTGGCACCTTTCAGTAGGAATTACAAGCAGCCAAGAACCCAGTACTTACACTCCTACCAGAGACTGAAAAATCCTGTTCTTGGTTAGCTTAATCCAAGTTCTGGTACTGCCAGACTGGCAGTGTAAAAATCTGGATGAAGAGGCAAGACAGATGGATGAAGAAAGGCAACAGGACACTGTAAAGCCAGTAGCACCCAGGCATTTCACTGCTCTAAAGTAACCATTTCCTATCCTACACCAAATCCCATCTGGTGTAGAGCTGGAACTTAGAAAACATCTTCATGTGCCTGTGTCAAGGTCAAACAGTGTTATTTTGCCACCTTTCCTTCCCAATACAACTCTTTCAATGTGTTAATCTCTGGGTTTTCACATGACAGGTTTAATAAAGCAGCTTTATGAAACACTAAGAGTTTAAGCTGCTATTCACTCTCTGAATAGAGAAATACAGCTTTTAAAGGAAAATAAGAACAAGTTAATTTTTAAGTTTCTTCAGAAACAGTTCTGCAAGATAGAAGGTGTTATCCACAACCTCCACCTCTCTTCCACACCTAAAAAAGACTGTCTGGCACAATCTTAGGTCAGCCTCATCTTTTGTGCAGCGAATTCACTCAGTAACACAGAGGACCTCCCATGCAAAAGCACTATTTTCAAGACTAAGACAGGAGAATGGAAGAACTTAAACATTAGCTTTTACTTCTCTTTTCATATACTTCCTGTTCTTACTCTTGACTTTGAGACCAAAATAAGTGAGGTCTAGAGTAAGAAGAATGGCTGAATGTCCTCTGATCTAAGAAGAGGCAAGAGAAGCTATTGAAACTTCTCTTGTGATCTGAGAACTAAGCAAGCACCTTAGAGAGACGGTGAGTCATGAAAGATAAGACAGCAACCCAAGACAAAACTCCCTGCACAGGAAATACATGTTATCAAAGAAAGTCTAAAAATGAGATATCACAAACACAAACAACTGAACTGAGTGCTCTATGGACACCACATCAGCAGGGACTTGAACATATCAACCTAAGCAATATTATGAACATGGCTGAGCATGATAATAATTGATAAATAAGGCATGGAAGATGAACACACTGTACCAGCTAGCTGACTAACAAGCCAGGAACATTTGTTACAGAAGGACACACCAGTGCTGTGAAAGCCAAAAAGCAATCTAAGAGGCTGACAGGAATCTTTATACTTGCCAGACCAGTGACAATTGTTCATCAACAATAAGAGGAAGCTGCTAGGAATTCTCTGAGGGAACCTACATGAGACTGAAAGTACAGAATGCAATCCCTCCAGCCATAACTGCATGGATAAAGCTGCTCCTGACATACCTCTGCAAACAAGATAGCATCAGGTGAGACATCTCAGCAGCTGTAACTCATCAATTGTGATAGACACATCGACATTTCCTGCGCTGGAGGAGATGCACAAGTTACACCTGAAGGTGCAGGATGGAGCAGAGCCCCATCACACAGGGTAACAAACAGCAGGCAACAAAAGGGAGCCTGAAGCTGATGCAGGATGCTGAGAGCAGGGTCAGGACCTTGGAGCGGGAGCACCAGGGAAGAGCCTGGTTTATCGGGAGCAGAATGGCCTGACAGGGGCACGATTCCCCGGCTCTCATTCTCCGCTCCCCTCCCTTCCCCTCACTGCGAGCCCCGGGATCGCTGCCCCCGCTGCCGCCCCTGCCCCGCACAGCCCCGCACCCCAGGCAGCCCCGGGGGAAGTTGTCACCGCACCGCCATCCCCAGAGCTCCCAGCGCCGGGAGAGCCGCGAGGGGCCCGGGCCCCAACCGCCACATCCCCACGGAGCGACATCCCCACCGTCCCCCGGACAACCAACTGGCGCGGCCGAGCGTGCACACAGCGCACGGCTGGGCAGGGACCGCCCCGGCCGCGGGCAGCCCCGCAGGCGTGCCGAGAGGAACGGAAGGAGGTTCAGCCGTTCCCCGGGCCCTGCGGGAAGGCGCTGCCGGGCGCCCCCTCCTCACCTGCAGCCCCGGCCGGGCACAAGGGCCCCGCCAGCTCCTGCCGCCGCTCCCGCCCGTCTGCCCCGCGCCCGCCGCCCGCTGCCCTTTACCGGCCGCCCTCTCCCTCCCATTGGCCACCGCCGCACCGCTTCCGCCCAGACCCGCGCGCTGATTGGTCAGAAGGCGAGCTGGGGGCGGGTGCTCCATCACTGACGCGTGGGTGCCATTGGCTAGAGCAGAGCGGGGGGCGGGACACTGCGGGCCCAATGGCTCGGGAACCTGTCAGTCAGGCGGAGGACGGTGATTGGCAGCGGACGTGGGCTCAGGGCGGGGCTATGGGCAGTGGCGGTGGCCGTGGTGCCGCGGCCATGACTGAGCGGGGCCTGAGGGCACGGCGGGCTGGGAGGGGTGGGGACAGCCTTAGCCTTGTCCTCAGCTGTATTTTCAGTATACCGCCACTTCCTGCCGCCACAGTCACTCCCCATGGTGTGGGGGACGCAGCCTGGGGAGCGGTTCTAGCTGCAGGACACGGTTGCTGTTCAGTGGCACGGAGCTGGGTGGTGTTGAGGAGCAAAGATCCCTCCAGGCTGCCGATAAGCCGTGTGATGTACCCTCTGCTGCTTACATAATACTGCGTCTTTTACAAACAGTACCTTCGAGCCTTAGGAATGGTGGCTGGGCCCTCAGCACGCTGGGATTGTTTATCGTGGGCCCAGCTCTGGGTGGTGAAGGCTGGGAGCAGCCTTGGCTCTGCCCTGGTCCCTCAGAGCAGCCTTGGGCTGTGCTGGCAATGGTGAAGGGTCCCTCAGAGCTGGCAGCAGTGAAGGCTCTGCCCTGGTCCCTCAGAGTGCTCAGCACTGTCCCACCTAATGGGGTCTGTGATGGGGACAGCAAAATCCACTCTGAGGTAGATGGACCCTACCCCATCTCAATGGCACTGGGAGGAAAATAAATTATAGGTTAAAAAACTATCCCTGATGTGATGTTTATAAACCTGTGTTTTTTATATTCTTCCAGAAGACCCCTGCGTTAGGTTGTTGGTAACATCAACCGTTCTGATCTGTGTTTATGGTTGCTTTATATAACTGGATGGAAAAATCCTTCCTCTCATTTCAGATATTTTAAATGTTTCCTCTGTTTACTGGGTGTTGGAGCTTCCTACGTGGAGAAAGCTCTCAAGGAGCAAGTCACATTTTCCAGGGCGCTGTGTACGTGGAGAGATGAGTAACTGCTGTAGCCTGAGTCACAGGGAAGGAGGGAGCTCTGGGTAAGGGCAGAGAGGGAAATTCTGGAATGAAGGTGGCAGAACAAACAGCATCCTCCTCTCTCCACGCTTGCTACAGGTGTGATCCCACACCACTCAAGTCAAACAGAGTTGTATTCTTTATCTTTTAATTAACCTTGTGAAAATACCCAGGGTTTATGGTTGCTAAATTTGTCAGTGGCTCAGCTGGGCTGAGGTTTGGTGTGTCTCAAGGCAGCTATGCTTGTGATCAAGTTAACAGATAGGCTCAGCAGATAAACATCCGGTATCAGACTCAGCTTTAGGTATTTGAGGAATGTGTTTGAGTTTGATTGCAGAAAATTGCAGTCCAATTGATTCCAGGTGTACCTTAGCTCTTTCACCATCTGATCTGGGCAGGAAAAAACATCTCCAGGCAGGAAAATACACCTCAAACCCAAGCTGAGCCTGCAGGCAAGGCTTTTATTTTAAGTCCTTGAGACTGTTAGAGTGAGAGAAGCTCAGCTGTTAGAAGAGAGCATTGTTACAGACCTGTCACAAAACAAAGCAAACCAAACTTGCTGCTCACTTCTTGCTGAGGAGAGGTGAACACTGAAGAGGTGGCAGCATAAATTTACAGTGGGAGCCAGAATCCTGCCAAGGAGGGGAGTGATGGAAAAGGTGCTGTGCCTCCAGAAAGGGAGGGAAGAACCAGAGCAGGTCACTGGTGTTTTATTCTGGGCAGTGTTGAGGGGTTCCAGCTGCACCTTGAAGTGTGGGAGCAGGGATGTCTGGGGGGAAGCAGGCACATTTTGGGAATGCAAATCTGACTTTGGGCAGTTAACACAGCTGGTGAGCTGTGGCTTGTGAAGGAAGCTGTGTGTGGGGAGTTGCTGTGGCCGGTGTGCTGGTGGGCTCTGCAGGGTTGGTGCTGCAGCAGCCCTGGGTGCCTGTGCCATGGGTGGAGCTCTCTGGCCCAGAGCCAGGGGCAAGGCTGTGCCACTCACAGTGAGCAGCTCATACCCAGAAAATGCCATCTGAGCCTCAGCCATCCCCAAAGGAAAGAGCTGAGCTTCATTTCTGGCCTTCTAGGGAAGGATTTAGCTGCTTCAGCCCAGCAGATATTTCTGCCTGCTGGTATTGCTGAGAGGTGGGATGGGAGTGTCCAGGAACACCCCAATGCTTTGGAGACAGGAGGATCCCTCTCTGAGCTGTGTGGCAAAAATGGACAATTGTACATGCTGGAAACTACAAGCACAGGAAGAATGCAGCTCTGCCTTGTGCTTTGGGCAGGCAATTACCTCTGTACAGAGAGGCCAAAAAAAGCCTAATGAAAATCCCACCTTTTTAACTGCAGCAGTTGGAAAGGTACCAGGCACAGAGAGCTCCACGTGCTGCTGAGCCAGCCTGAGACACCCCCGTGCAACACCGTGGTGACAATCACCTTTTGTTCTTCACATCCCTCTCTCTTTTGGCTGTTGCTGCCACAACTCTGAACTGTTTTTCTGCTTCATTTCCCCTGGCCCAGCTTTTCTCCTGCTCAGCAAACGTGCTGTGCACTGAAGGACTCCTGCGGACTTTGCACCCCTGAGGAAACCTTTTTGCCAGAGGAAACATCAGGGTGTTCATCTATGGCAGTGTGTGGCAGGAGCAAAAAGGAAAACACCTCTTAGGCAGAGTTTGATTGCCAGCTGAAAATAAGCAAAGTGCCTGTCAGTGACATGTGAGCTCAAAGAAGGCTTTGCAGATGGAAATAAAGGCAATGCTTTTTCCTCTTCTCCTGCTCTGCCTTCCCTGCAGTGCCAGTGAGGCTTTGGCTTGTGGGCTGCAGAGCCATGCTGTTCCTGACCCTGCTGGATCTGGAGGCACAGTGCTCTTTGGACTCTTACATATTTTCTGAAAATGGTGTCTAAAAGAGTAATGGGCACTTTGCAGAGCTCTAAATAGACCAGCCTCTGTCCTGAGGAGCTGGCAATGAACAGAGGCAAGTGCCAGGGATGGGAGAACGGCTGCATCATACAAACCAGCTGGGGAGGTGGCACGTGGCCCACCTGATCTGTATTTTTCCATCACATTCTCATTCAGCTGCTCCTTGCCAACTTCCAGCTCTGTCACACTCCTCAAAAGCTTCTACTCTGGGTTTATTTAGCACGCTATTTATTTCCTAATTATAGAACTGCAGTGACTGACCTCAGCCCTTCTGGGTACTGCTGTCCACCTTTTTGTCCCCTCTAGACCATAAACTCTGGTCTCCTCTAATGGCTGAAAGCCATTGCTAGAGACTTTATGACTATTTTTTTTTTGTTTTTCTCCCAAACCCCAGAGGGCTCAGACTGCTTGTACAGAGAGCATCACTGATCGTTTCAGAGCAGATGGGCTATTGCATTCCCAAATTCTTCAGGCCAAAAGAGAAATGCCACTGAGCTGAGCACTTTACCATGCTGTGTTCTGCTGCTTCTGTCCACAATTTCCCAGCAGCCAGCTTACTGCTTTTATCCCACATCCAGCCACAGTTGCTGCCCAGAGGAAGAGGTTTTAAAAATCACTTCCTGGCATCAGCAGTGCTACTGGTCCTGCTTTTGGTTGTTCCATGGCACTTGAACCCTGCCTGGCTCCACAAACAAACTCAGTGGTCTGGGAGGAGGATCCATCTTGTGTCTCCCTGAAAGGAACCTGTGCCACAACACTACTGAATTTTCCAGGGAGTCTGGTTAGGTGAAATTCCTACTTTCAGGATGCCTTCTGCCCCAAAAACTTCCAGGCTGAACAGACTTGTTCTCTGCAGCCACCTTTAATGCCACCTCTTGTTCAGTTAGAGCTGTTTCTGCCCCTTTCACACATTTTGAGCTTAAGATACAGCTGCAGGAGCCAGGCTTTGGTGTGGCACCTGTCCCTAAAGCCACCTGCAGAAGCAGGGAGGTTCTGTGCAGGGAAGGTGGCACCAGAGCAGCAGGTGTTTAGCAGGCTGTGAGAGCAGGGAGAGGAGGCATCTCTGGGGGAAAGCAGGGTGGATTCAGACAAATGGATGTACTAGAGCCAGAAGGATGTATGAGCTTCTCCTGGAGAGTCTCCAAGATGTCTTGCTGAGTAAAGGAAACCACCGGTCTTCTGTTTAATCCCAAGTGGTCTGTCTGACATTTGCCACTATTGCCTCAGTGTGTTGCTGAGGTTGGAGTCTGGAAAGGCTGTGATTGTCCCACCTCAGAAAGCTGGCAAAGGAGTCTGCTAAGGCCACAGTCTTGTGGAGTTTTTTTTCAGGGGCTGCTTGCGAAATGCTTTCCGTGGGAAAGTTTCCATAGAAGTAGTGGTGCCTGAAGAGAATGCAGGGTGGCAATCCTGCAAACTGAAATGCTCAGTGAACTGAACAATGGGATTAGCAGCCCCTTGTAAAAATCCAAATTTTAGTATTGTCCGAGGAATGGGCCTTTTCCTAGAGAGCAATATTCATGGAAATAAATTGAGTGGAGGCGGAAGATTGATTTTGTGCCAAAATAGAGGGAATTGGGATAGGTCTGGGAGGAAGGGAGGGAAGAAGAACACAACATTGTTTGGATGATGGTGAGTACAAAAGAAATGGTTACAGTTGTGATTTGGGAGAATGAGTGATGGTGTTTGGGAGCAGAGAGCCAGAGCTCTGTTTCCTGGAGGTGTAGAAGGAAGGCAGGGGTGAGAGGAAACAGGCTTGATGCTGGTGCAGGGAGGAGAGTTGTGGCTGAGGCTGGTGGGGTCCATGGGAGTCATGGTTTGGCAAGGAGGGTAGTGAGCAGGAAGCTGCAAAGAGCAGTGGGATGGCTGGGATGAAAGGCTAATCCAGGGCATCTCCACCTGCCTGATGGCTTCCTGGGGATGCACTGGCAGTCACAGCCAAG